ACACGGATCATCGGGGGACCCCCTCCGTTAGTCGGTGTCTGGGTGCAGTTGGTAAGCTGGAACCGGCAATCTCGCAGATTTTGCTGATCCCGCTACACCACATTGCTAAACCTGTGCTTAGGACTTTCATTTGTTACTTTAGTAGGAAAACCTTGCCAATCAAGTACTGGGGGTTCACAAGTTGCATTCTGCATTTTAATCAGATCTTATTGTTGTTTTCATGGATGTATAGCTTTTGGGCACATCAGCTTCCTCTGGATATGTCTACACAGAGACTTCTCGAGACTTCTGAAGCCACCGTGGGCATACCCTTACTCAAATCCCTCCCCACCGGCTCCTGCCGCGGTATTGGAGTGCTCACTAGCTCTCAATCCGCCCTTCCGCGAGTTCAGGACGGCTAGAGCGTCAGGGCGGGGACTACACGCAGTTGCCTTCCCCCTGACTCACGTCCGCTGTGCTTCCTCTTGTTGCGGTTGACCAGGACGTTGTGACTGCCGCTGTCTACCGTCTCCGTTGCACGAAGGGCAAACACCACGTGTACACAGACCCCGAAGGCGTGACAATAGCCGCAAGGACGCCACCGGTGGTTGATATCAACCGGCCACCCTCCTCATGGCTGACCCTGCACTTCCATACGTGCGTAGCTTTTTCCCATTTGGGAAGAGCCAGCAATGCTTACTTCTGTCCACTAGTGTGGTGCGACTTAAACTCGCTGTGCCATCGTCGGACACCACGTGCACCGTGCTGGAGCATCCAGCATACGCAGCCGTCGCTAAACCACCGTTCGGGTAGCCGATTAGGGATTGTTTTACCATGTCCCACACCCTGCGTGTGAGGGTTGGCTGAACAGAGATCTCAAAGCTGAAAGGTCAGGCGTTCGACGACACGTCGTGGCAACATGCTGACAACTCACGCAGCAGTGTACCCCTTTTGAGTCTTCGCCTCAGAGTGTAGCCACGCTTCAGACGGGCATTGAACGTTTCAACTGGGCTGTTCGTCGATGCAAAGCCCGACGGTGTGAAGCACCGCTGCCACTTCCAGTACCTTCTGTACAGCCATTGGTCCGTCATGTACTGAGAAAATGTCGTCAAATATGGATTGCTTTTCCAGCTCAGCAAAACTTACTCCCGAACGCGCAGGAAGCCTAATTCGCTCCGTACGAAATGAAGATCGTACACGCCTCGTACGCACTAGCCGCTATGAGCGAGAGAAACCCCTTAATCACCTTCTGGATGTTTTGAACGACGTGAAAAAAACACACATCAGAAAGTGGAACCCAGGTGTTTGTCCAAACACCGAGTTGATACCGTTATATTATGCCTGGTCCGCGTCAGCTAACCCGAAGCGCACTACTAGATCCTTGCACATGATGTAGTAGAAAAAACGACGTAGCGACAGCACAGCCTCGAAGATAGGCTGATTTTCTTGGGACACTATACAGCGCCACCAGATGAAAGACGCTAGCTCGGTCTGAAATGCCAACAACCACCACTAGATATCCACGGTAATTCAACTTGTATGTGGCGTCAACATGTAGGATAAAGCTGTCCGGTTGTAGCAGCATCTGCGTCATGAGCCCTTTCGTGGTCAGCCCGATAACAAAGGGATTTACCTGATCCGTTCCCCACAACGGATTTGCCTCGGTTGTCCACCTCTCAGCTAAACGTGAACGGCTGGTCCTTCGCCTAAGTTCCTCGCATGGATCCACCCCCTTATCTCATTGACCCTATCGTGGCTGTCGAGATTCGTCCGAGAAAAGTGGTTACGAAGTTCTGGACGACGCTTAAGTTTGGCAAATTCTCAAGCGGCGTCGAGAACTTACGAGCCATGGCATGACGAATCAGTAATGGACGGAGGTGATGTTCCATCATCTCTCGGCAGAAGGCCTTCTGGGAGGCGCTTAGCTTCTTCTTCTTGGGCGAGGAAACCTCAGACGTATGGTCGCCGTAGTCGTAGATAGAGACTCGATTCGTAGCTAGGCACGTTAGCAACTTCCCCCACCACACACAGGGAGATTCCTGAGCGTCACTACATGCGCTCGAGCTGCATACAAGCAGCCTGTATCGCATACGGTGGTGTTTGGAGGCGAAGCACATAGTACACGCCATGGTGTTGCTCTTGGCTACATCGAAGGACTTGAATCCCTCCAATACAACGTCTGCATCGGCCTCGTCGGCAGCAATGACCCTCTCCACCCACGGAATCCGCTTCGGCATTGCACGAGAGGGGGAATGGCAGACGATCGCCAAGCACGGTGATGGGTGGTCCACACACCACAGAACCAAAAAATGCTGGTACTATAAATTGATAATGAGCTATTTAGCTCTGTGACTGGCTACCGTTCTGCATTCTTATTGGCTGATAAGGGTCATCGGTCTTCAACTCGATGTAAATCTATAGACCATCCAGTTTTTTAAAGACAAGGCTTCGCTTTGTGCTGCTTTCATAAACAATTGTACTGCCCAAATTTTGATGTGCTGCAACAGACTTAAGGTGCCGCACCGTAATGTATTGTGAAAGGGACGCGTTCTCATTGGGGACCCGGGTGGGGGATTCCCAGTTCTCAGCTTGCGCAGTCAGGAATCGAAAGTAACACGATTTTTTCGTCAAACTACTATATTAGAGCAGTCTTACCGTCCACAAAACTAATATTCGAGCATTTTTTGGAAGACTTTGAGAAAACTACTATAGTAGTAATGCTCTATTACCAGACTATTAATATTGTCGAACGCCTACAAATCTAGACAATACCGGCCATCTTAAGCAAATTTGGCCCATCTACTGTAGGACTAAATGACCCGGGGTTAGGCTGCTCAGTGGGTGCAAAATCGGGCTCCCTGTGGGCTAACTTAAGAAAAATTAAATCCGTAGTATCGAACGCAAATATATAATGCTCGTGCTTGTTGTTCCAATTTACATGTCGACCCGGCCGCGTTTAAATTATTGTACTGGCGAGATGAAATGATATACCAGCTTTAGGAGCCGATATCGGATCATCTACTGAGTAAATGTTTCAAAAGGAAGTCAGCTTCGAAAGCTTAGGGCTTACTCGCTAAAGTAAGCCCACCCACGACTTTCTCGGTGGTGGGTTATGCCGAGAGTGAAGAGGCTTTGCTAGAGGTCTGGACAAAGTTCTCGCCCGCTGCAAACATTTCGGGCTAAAGCGGCTTGCCAAAAAATATCTGTTCTTCGCAACGGAGGTAAAGTGGTGTGGCAGAATCATCTCAGCTGAAGGTGTGAAGTATTCTCCTGATCGAGTACAGGGACTTGTTGATATGCAGCCACCGCAAACAGCTGCAGAGCCACAGGCGTATATCTGCGCATCCAACTGGATGAGGCAAAGTATTCCGGAGTACACGCGTATAGCGGCACCTTTATACAGCACATTGGAGCGAGCGGCAAAGATTGCTGGTTCACGGAAGAAGAACAAGCTTGCCAAGGTGAGACTTATTGACGCGGAGTGGAGCAACAAGGAAGTCGCCAGTTTCGAAGATGTTAGTCGAGCCTTGTTGAAGATGGTTCCGCTGGTCCACCCGAAACCAACGGCGGCGCTGTGTCTATATACTGACGCGAGCCAGTTGTTTTGGGGTGCTGTTGTGACGCAGTTGGAACCAGAGGAAGTCTCGCTACCACTGGAGGATCAGCACCATCACCCGTTGGCGTTTCTGAGTGATCGGCTCGCTGGAGCATCAGCCCGTTGGCCAACGATTGAGAAAGAAGCCTTTGTCATCGTAGAAGCTACACGTCGTCTCGACTATCTGCTGCTTAGACCAAAAGGATTTCGACTGTACACAGACCATAGGAATTTGGTGTACATATTTAAACCGTACATTACCGATGGAGCCATGGCGAAGTATCAAGCCGACAGGTTGCAGCGCTGGGCGCTTTCTCTATTTGCGTTTCGGTACATGATCGAGCATGTACCTGGTGAAGTTAACGTGTGGGACGATTTGGTAAGCCATTGGGGCACTGGCCAGGAGCGTATCGAGATCCGCGCCGTTGCGCGAGTCGCGCGTCTAGCGGTTGTGCAGCGCGTGTCACCACTTCAAGAGCCTGAGTTTGTCTGGCCCACTGAGGCCAAGATACGGACACTGCAGCGGGCAGCGCGTGATGCTGGCAACGACCTACAAGGTGCTGTGTGGAGTGATGAACGTGGCTTTGTGGTGATGCCATCCGGTCAAGTGTGGATCCCCGCCCAACGCGGGCGACCTTCAACAACGGATATGTGTGATAGCACACGCAGGTGCGAGCGGCCACAGAGGCACCCGTGTAACCACGCAAGGTTTGAAGACTGTATTTTTCTGGAGAAGTATGGCAAGCGACGTTTCCACGTTTACGAGGGGGTGTTTTCACTGTATGGCAACAGCAAGTGGTCGTTTTCCCCGGCCGTTTGGGGAGACGCTGAAGGCTGCGAAACAAACGAGCTCCTTCACTTTGACTATTTGACGATAGTTGAGGGCACTGGCGGTAACAAATATGTCCTGGTTCTGCAGGACAGGATGAGCGGATTCGTGGAGTTGATCGCCTGCACTCAAGCGACGTCGGACGTTGTGTACCAAGTCCTATTGGATTGGTTCAAGAGGTTTGGCGTCGTCAGGCAGTGAGTCACCGATCAAGGTGCTCATTTTCGTAATCAGATGGGCGAGAGATTGCGGCGGACGTTAGGTGCCCAGCATCATTTCACCACAGCGTACACGCCGTGGGATAACGGAACCATCGAAGTGGTTAACCGCGAGATTCTTAAGTGTGTGAAAGCGCTTTTAAGTGAGCGAAAGCTTGCTGTCTGGGACTGGTCGGTCGTGTTACCGGTCGTCCAGGCTGCGCTAACGGGATGCCGGCGGATCGCCTCGGTGGCAAGGCACCATTGACGGCGTTTACTGCGCTGCCAGGTGGCACACAGTTGCGTAGTATCCTTCACCCCCGCGACTCTAAGCAGGCGACGGTGAGTTGACGACACTGTCCGCGAGCACGTGACAGCCGTTCTTGCGGCTCTGGATGTAATGCACGCCGAGCTTGAGAAGCGCCGGCGCGCAGCGCGTGAGCGCCGTGCTCGTCGCCAAGGTGTCATTCTACAAACGTATAGTGAAGGTAATTTTGTGCTGGTCGCGACAGCAACAGGTTGTAGCGGCAACAAGTTGGCCCTCAATTGGCGTGGACCCAAGAGAATCATACGCGCAACCGACTTCACGTTCGAGGTCCAAGACATCATACCGCCGCTTGAGGTGTCCGTCCGTCACGCATCGCGACTTCATCTGTACCGCGACGCAGCGCGAGGCACCGGGGAGGAATTACTAAAGCAGGCTATCTATGGCGAAGGTGGCCATCTTGGCGAAGCCCATCTAGACTGCCGCCTGAGCCCAGCCACCCAGCAATGGGAAATTCTCGTGAAGTGGGTCGGGCCGGATGATATCGAGGCCTCATGGGAGCCTGCAGAGGTCATTCTGCAAGTTTAGCTGATGTTCAGCGCAGGGCTGCCGCGCTGCCAGCGCCCAGCCTGTCGTGCCTTTGCGTAGGTGGTCGACAGAGAGGGTGCCCGTAAGTTTACCCTTAAAGTCGAGGGGGGGAGTGATCCGTCCGGATACAGTTTGTATCAGTATGGCTCCCGCCGCCACAGTTGGCGAGGGTAACCGCGGGAGGTGCACGTACCGTGCGCCAAGAGGAGAAGGTAGGATGTAAAGGCGCGTGCTGTGTAGCACACACACACAGAAAAGGTTCAGAGGATTCAATTCAATACCCAGTTTCAGTTTAGCTCAGTAGAGAGCGGTTCGGCCTGGCAGAGGTCCGGAGAGACAACGAGGTGGTCATCCCTCTTTACACCAACCAACCATGCCCTAGCGCTCGCGGGGCGGGCGCGTAAAGCGTTAGTCCTAAGCTATCAAGGCTTAGCACGGTGTCCGACCGTCCGTCACACGAAACGATCAGATTTTTGAACATTCTCATTGGCTGTCGAGCAGAGCAAAGGCGGCTTCAATTGGTGAAAACTGGATAATGTATCTTACATCAGTAACTTTATTGGTTCACAGTTCATATGAACGCATTGGCGGGACCCAGGGTTCCGGCAAATGATACCGACCAACTCCATAAATATTTTTTTTTATTTTTAGAGCTGCAGGTTAAAATCAATGCGTGGAGGTAGACGAGCTCTCATTTTCAGCTGTGCGTCTCCAGGACAACGTGTATCAAGAACCAGTATGTAGAGACGTGAAGGGGACACACATTCGACAATTCCGACGGGTGAACGGTAGAAAAGTCCTGACAGAAGTGAATCCCACGGTGCAGTGCACCAAGACGAAGAAGTCCCCCCATATCAGCTCCCACATCAGCGAAGCAAGCCCCTGACCGTCCAAAGAAGAAGAAGGCCCAGTTGAAAGCGAACCAACTGTGAAGTTCAGTCAGCTACCTCACACTCAGATAAGTTATTAATGTTTCTACAGCAAAATAGTTATAGTTATTTTTCAGTCATTGTCACTTGCAGAAACTATTGAGTACAGAGTATTAGTTTATTATTATTATGCCCTCGGAAGCACGCATTCATACGTGTACACTAAGCGCCTTGCAGCATTAGAAGCGTCGTTAGAGGCTATTTCATTTGAGAGTAAATAGCTCTGTTTAGCACTCAAGTATTAAAAGCAACATGCATTAATAAAACGGTGCCGCCCTCGGATACAGGATAGCCTTGTGCAAATCACCATTTGAATGCAGTGGCGGAGACCCGGGTCCCAAAACAACCGGTATCCAACATAAATGTGTGCCATTATTAATCATTTTAACCTGCTGTCGACGTGGGTTTGGTGAAAAAGAACTGGAGAATCGCAAACCGTAGTATTAATATATGTACAACAGAAGCTAGCCATAAAAATTGGCCGTAAGAAACAACGCAATAAACGCTATCACTTGAGCCATAAAGATAGATAGGCTTCATAAAAAAACTCAGATGTGTTACTGCTGTAAACCATTGTTTTCTAAGAGTTGTTTAGGTATCAAAATCCAATACTACTTAACGGGCGGACGTGTCGCTGACAAGGGCGTAGGATACGATTTAATGGAGCGGTAAGACAACAACACAACACGAGAGGTGATAATTAAAGTTGGTTAAGTAGACCCTTTTTGGGTGGAAGATAAAGATTGCAGTGATAACCAACAATAATAAAGAGGTTGTAGTAAGAATCATAATTCAAGATCATTATAATATTTTCCTGGTAGTGGTAGTACGTACTTGTACAGCCCTATGGGGATTAATTCGAGATTATGTGCATACACTAATAGTAGGTATTGATTCGAAATAGATTTCACATGAGAAGGTCTTATTTCCTACCAATTTGTATAAAACTTCGCAGGTTTACTCCGCAGTAAAGGTCTAGCATGGGTATAAACGCATAGAAACTTGGTGTACGAAACAAAATATAGCTAAGTTTACTCCATGCTAGGACTTCGTTTTTTCGAATATTTACCTTTTTTTACACGGCTAGGTGTTGTGCAAGAATATCACTATTAACAGTAGATCTTAATAACTATACAGCGGACAGTAAACAAGGCTGTCGAACCCGTTGAGGTCTGTGACGAGCGGCAGAAGGATAGACCGAAGGCTGGCAGTCCAATGAGAGCACGTAGCGCCGCCAGATACCGCGGCATCATCCATCTACCTTTCGCCCTTGCTCGGTTCAAGTTGCAGTAGTTTCAACGCATTGCTGCTGCCACCTGACGCAGCATCGAGACGCTGAGGCTCCTGGACATGGCGATTTCGGAGCTCTCGCGCACCATGCGCTATTTTTCGCGAAATGATAGGTTCGCTCGTATGTGTCGTTAGGGTTGTACCGGGCCAGCCGCCGCGAGCGTCGCTAGTGGTGATCTTGATTGACCCAAAACTTCCCCGAGCATAGCGTAGATTAGGAATAAGTGGAAGATAAGTAGACGAGCAGAATCCTAGACGTATCATGTACCGGTAGATAGAGCAGAGATAACCGCAGCAGCTCATTCACCGCCGCGGCGATGAAGTATAGTGCCCTCGGGTGGTGGTCGCCGCAGCTGGTGAGCTCGCTGAGAAATTGCGGAGCTTTTATAAAAAAAAAATATTTTCGGTGAAAGAAAATGATATATTCGCTCAAATCGTATTACCTTCTTAAACATATTTAAAAAGTCGAGATGTGTTGGAGTTTAGTGTCGTAGCGTATTAAATGCGTATTAAATACGCTACGACACTAGACTCCGAGCGATCATTTACAGATAAAAAAAACGTTTCTGCAAATGATCGTTAAAACAGGTACATGTACTGTAAAATTCAAAAGCGCGACCACTGGTAGTAGTACCAGTCTCGTACTGTTGTGTTTTAATCAGGTAAGCACGATGCTGACCCAGATTAATGATATAAAAATTATCGAGGCGCATAGGGGCTTAGCGGGTTTGCTAATATTTAGGCCAAAACAGTAAGTAGAACTAAACGATATTTAAATTGCCGCCGCGTAGCCGTTGCGCTCAGCTAGTAGTAATTGAGATGACGCATGGCGCGTCACCGGGCTCTCCGACCCTCTAAACTACGTGGAGTAGGTGCCATTGGCACATACGTGTAGGGCAGTAGGCGTAGAGCAACAGGAATTAGAATGTAGGACACGTGAGTGCCGGGCAAAGTACCACGACAGGACCACGGAGTTCTGGTGCTTGCTGCCTATCAGTCGATGTGCGCGCAGCACAGCAAAAGCAGTTGTGAGTGAGAGCCCCCAAGCACCTGAACCTCCATGTTCCGCAAAGTTAAATTAGCACATACTCAACCTAAGATAGTCTATAGGAAAGCTAAGTGTTTCACCATCACCTGCAACGCCGTTGCAGTTGCTCACCGCCACCAATGTCGTCCTTTATACAGTCATTGGTATCTTCCGCACGCAGCTCGCACGTGAGCGCGTTGCAGACCGGTACGCCGGGATGCAATACAACTGCATAGACACGCGTAGAATTGTAGTTTGAATCGGTAGTACTGGTATTGCCAGCGTCTTGGGCTGTGGCAATGGCGTCTGGCAGTGGACACTGGCAGACTGTAGCAAGTAGCATCTTACAGTAGCAGGATAGCATTTCACACTCCCACTTGATCTCGGCGATGCGGTGCCGAATCGACGCGATCACATCGCTTCACCCGTACACACACCACTGAGAATAGTCGTACGATAGCCACCACCACCGTAATTTGCTAGCTGCGTAGTCCCCCACTCGAATCGCACATGTCCGTAGTCCGGCGCAGTTGATTGCATGCTAGTGTTGTGGTACAGCCACACGAAACTGGTTCAATTAGTCGGCACACAGGCACACTACATGTCATCGTCGTCAGTAATGTGTTAATCCGTCGTACTTGACCGCATTGCAGGTGACGCAGCCATGGTATCATGCATCGCAGTTGACGCGGATGTAGCCTTCTCATTTACAGTAGCGGTCGTGTCACTGTCTGCCCCAATAGGCAGCAGTACCTTCAGCATTTTTCGGAATCGAGAGAACTTGACCGCCGCCAGTGGTTTGGTCATGATGTCTGCCACCATGTCCTCCGTTCCGATGTGTTGCGTAATGCTCCGTTTTAGTTCCACGTTCCGCCGCACCATGTGGTATTTGTTGTCAATGTGGTTTTGCTTGCTGTGCTTGCCGGGCTTAGTCGTTGGAGAGATGGCTCCCAGATTATCTCCGAGTAGTACAGGTAGTGCGTGTTTCCACGATAGTTCTCGGCAGAGCCCTGCAACCCACAGCAAGTCCTTTGTAGCTTCAGCCATTGCAACGTACTCAGCTTCACATGTGCTCTGAGCATTATTTTCTTGTTTTCTTGATGCATAGGATACGACATTTTCGTCCATTGTCGTCACGTATACACTAATGCTGCGGCGGTCAACGGGATCATTAGCATAGTCAGCATCCGAATAGCAACCCACGCGTAGGTCACTTGCTGACGCAAAATCCATCCCAAGACCAAAGTAACGTGTAGCCTGCAGGTAGCGCAATACCCGCTTGGCTTGCGCGTAGTGAGTATGGTCGTAGCTAGCTAGGTATTTCCCGAGATGTATGATTCCGTGTGCGATGTCAGGTCTTAACGCACTTACAAGATACTGAAGCGCACCGACCAGCTCTCGATAGGGCAGGTACTCGGTCGTAGCAGGAACAACCGCCTTTGAGGGTGTCAGAGCGTCAGTCGTAGTACACCCATTGCACGTCTCCATGTCAAATCGCTTGAGTACTTCGAGTACATACTGTTTCTGGCAGTAGCTAATCTGTCGACTGGGTTTGTTGATCAAGATCTCCACACCTAGTAAGTACTTAACGGTTCCCATGGTCGTGAGCTCAAACGTTTCTTGCAGCGCGGCTGCAATTCGAGCACACAGCTCACGTGGGCCCATTCAATAGTCGTCCACGTATACAGCTAGAAGCACAGTCACTTAT